GCGCGGGGCCGCGGAAGGGGCCGTTCTGCTCCCCGCTGGGACGCCTGGGCGCGCATGGCGTGGAACGGATGAACTCCGGTAGCGTGCCATGGGGTATCCGCATTTACTGCTCCACAAAACCACTCCACATGCACAAGGGGATGAGGCAAGATCCTATTTGCTCCATCAGACAGGTTGGCCTGAGGAGGACGTGAATCTCTTTACACCGCGCCTGAGTTCGAGTCCCCGCACGGAACCCGGCCGGCGCCGCTCCGCCTCCGCAGCACCGACCGCAGGGGGGGACGGCAGGAATCCGCCCGGCTGTGTGGACCAGAAGGGCTTCCCTGAGCCAGCTGCAGGCCAACCCGTGGTCTCTTCCACGGATCCTTTGCCAGAACGCACTCCTCCATCACCCAGAGGGAGAGGTCAACACCTCTGACACAGACAGAGCAATAAACATTTTATAACGTACAATAAAAGATGAAAGGTGTGTCTTGTTCGAAGTCGTAACCCCCTGCCTTTGTCCACTTCAAGCAGAACTCAGGGCAGAACACGGGGACTTCACACCTCGCAGTAACCGCGGGTTTCCTGGGTGTGGGACGCCAGGATGGCTCTGAGCTCTGCGGGATGAGGGCAGAAAAAAACATAAGGGCTGGAGGCATAAATAGCACTGCAGCCATAGCTGGTGAGATCCTTCAGACGTGCCTGTTATCCCCCAAGAAAGAAACACCGCTTGGAATCCATAACCCTATAAAGGGAGATTCAGGACAGATGGTGCAGCATGTGCAAAACGATAAGGGAGATGCTCCTCGTAATCCTGGAGCAGACAGCCAAGCAGGCAGCCCACAAAGGGCTGCAAGTGAGGAAATCAGCCTGCTAATTTGGCGGCTTTGGGGGAGGCAGATCATGTGCTGTTTACAAAGGCGGCTGTCCCTGGTAATTCAGCCCGAATCCCTTTCTCTGCTGCTGCTCCCACTTCCAGGTTTAAGCCACGTCTTTCCTAACAGAGATGCGCTCGCTCCTTGTTGGGTGGAAATGGGGAATTAAAATTTAAAGCATAACCGCTCACTCAGAATTCAGAATTGGCTGCATGGTGAGGCAGGAGGCAAAAGGGTTATGGCTATGTTTCATAACTGCAGGCTTTAAAGGCAAAGTAATAATGCCATTAATGAGAAGAGACAGAAGGGGCTGGCAGCAGCTCAGCTCATCAGAGGGACTGCACCATTACCTCCTAATGATTCTCTTAAAGATTTTCAACAGCTCTGAATGAAAGCTATGTAGGAAGTCCACATTTTAGGAACCACCTTAGGAAACGGGGTTTCCCACATTAAGGAAAAGGAAATCCTGTTTTCTGAGATTCACGAACATCAAAGTCTTCACTGCTGTTTCCCACCGTAACCCATCGGTGTCAGACACCACGAGGGCTCTGGGCTGCGCGACTTCAGTCCTAAGTTGGTGTCAGAAAACTCACCTCGTTCTCATCAGCAGTGCCCAAAAATAAACCCTGTGTGACACAGGGGTGTTTTACAGCCAAAAAAGGGAGGGGATGAAAAAGGAAAGAAATGACAGAAGCTCTCACCCTAAAGGTGACCCACGCTTCCCTACGCGTGTTCCCCTGACTGCAGGTTGAGGCTGGGTTGCAAGCAGGGCTGGAGAAGGGAGGCTTCACTGAATGCTAGCGGGGAGTGGAAGGGCAGGGGGGGATCCCAGGGAGCCCTGCAGGGAGGCGTTTCTCATTGAAGCAGCCCTGCTGCAGGCTGCTCATCCCAGGAACCAAGCGAGCAGAGCCCACGGGCACAGTGAAGAGCAAGAGCTGAAAACAGAATGCTTTGCCAGCACACGCAGTGCCTGCTTGAAGCTGAGCACCATTTGCATCCAAGCACTGCAATACGGTGCCCACAAGCACAGCTCAGCCCTGCGTTCCTCCCCCGTGTGTTTGGTAGCAGTGAGCCGTGCTGTGGAGCAAACGCTGCTCAGAGCGCAACGCCGGCTCCGCTCCCATCCAACGGCAGCATCAGCAGCTTCTTCACCAGCCCCTCACTGCGCCACAGAAGGAAGCTCCCATGGCACAGTGGTTGTGTGACCTCAGCTGGCAGCGACTTTCTGGAGGAGATGTAAGCAGAGAGGAACAGATTGCTAATACCCCTATTTGCCAAAGACATTCAAGGTTACATCACAACACCACACCACACACATCGTGCCGATACAAACAGCAACTCACGGGGCAGTCAGGCAGCACCTCCAGCAAGGATGGAGATCGTGCCATATGTTGCACCAAATGTAATTTCCCCAGATTTGCAGAAAAATCTCCTAACTGCACAGAACAAAGCTCAGCACAACCTGACCAAACCCAGTTCTTTAAGCAGCAGTGTGATCAGCTTGCTTGTTACACCACAATATCTTCTGTTTCCTCCACAGATCTGCACAGATTCAGCCCTCTGATGACCCTACAGATTAAGGCAGTGCTGTTCCCACTTAGCACTCTCAGCCCACACGTCTCAGGGAAAGCGATCTGGGTTCTCTTCCAGCTCATGCATCAGCACCAATTTTGTGTAATTCCTTTCCAAATGAAGAGCCTTTATTATTAGCAGCAGAGTCAGGAAAGACGCAGCATGGATCTGAGATCCCAGATGGAGCCAGCAAAGCTGGCAGCCAGGAAAGCTGTCTTTTTTCTTCCAACCTGCACACAGTGGGCATGGAGTCACCAGGTGGCCATAGCAGCACAGCCCCACGGTGCCACTGGGCACCTCCCAGCACACTGCTGTCCTTTTTAACTGAGAAATCCACATTCAGTGCCACCAACTGCCGAACGCGACTTATCTGCACCAGCCAGGCCTCTTCTGCAGAGGAATTCTCCAGCTGCTGTTGGAGCGCAATACATTAGCGAATGATATTAAGTTTCTAATTGTCAGACATTTATCACAGTGCTTACACCCAGCTTGCACAAACCTGCCTCCTCCAGGCTCACACTGCTGGGTTCCACTCCTGCAAAGACCATAAGCAGAGCTCTCAGTTGTACCCCGGCTGCAAACGCTCAGCGCGCCCCCCGTGAGCACTTCCCGTGCAATACTGCTCCCTTTACAGCATCTGCAGTTTATACGAATCACAGCTGCAGCATCAAAGAATGAAATCTTCCACAACAAAGCCTCTCACAAACCTGAACCCTCTACAGAGCACAGAGCTGCTTCATGGCAGCGCTCTTTTGCACGAAATCCACAGTCACAAAGGACAAAAAGCAATCAGGAGGACAGCTGCTGGCCGAGCCACAGCACAAGGATGCAGAGCTTGGGCAGAGCACACAGACACATCGTCCCACTGTCCAGACGTGGCACTGAGCAATGCCATTAACTCAGCATGGCTAAACTGGAGGCAGAATGCCTGCTTTAACAGAAGGCTTACATCAACATCATTGACTGCTGTGCACTGCTTCTTCACGGCCTCAAAGAGATACCTAAAAATCAAACCAGCAGGCGCAGAGCCCATGGATGCCCATCAGCAGGACCCCCAACACATCACCTCCAGCCCCAGCACATCAGCCCTCCGTTGTGTCACTCAGACCACCATCCATTGCTCCATGGCTGCAGCACAGCCCCCCAGCCCAGCACTACGTGACACCAGCAGCTGTGGCCAGGATGAGCCCTGCAGGCACTGCTGCACAGTGAGGGAAAGGCTGCTGTGCAGCCACCCTGCTCCTTCCTTCTCATGCAGGCACAGCAGTGCGTTTCTGCAGCAGTTGCTCAGCATGAACAGCCGGCGAGCAGCCAGCTCCCAAAGCAGCACAGCGAGTGGTTCATGCCAACAACTGGGGTGAGAGACCTGCCTACATCGCAGGGTGTCACAGCTGAGAAGAGCCACGTCGTGCCTGGATCACACTGCTCCCCGCAGGCCCTGCTGGGATGGGGTCACAGAGCACCAAACATCAACAGCGACTTCGAGGCTTCAGCCAAAACCATTCCAGGAGTGAAGTTTTTCATGCCAGATATTTAGAATTGACAGTTCTTTCAAAATGAACTGAAAGCACCTCAACTGATGAAGTGCTTCTGGACAGCAGCTGTAAGAGCTACAAAGCACCTCCTCCCATAGGCACCAACCCCCACCTCGGGGCGAGGTTGGATGGGGGCTGCCCCTCCGCTCAGGGGTCCAGCACTCCGAGCCGCCAACCTGATCCATCAGAACGTGCAGCTCATTGAGAGCATCTGCAGTTCATCAAAGCATTAATGAGAGCCCAGACATCCCACAGCAGCCTGATTCCTAATGCTGTTTCTGGTCTTCAAGGCTCCCCT